TATTGTACCAGCCCCAGATGATAGGTGAGGGTAATTGTGGAGCAATTGGTGGAATGAAGATTGGCAGGGGAAACCGAAGTACTCGGAGAAAACCTGCCCCAGCGCCACTTTGTCCGCCACAAATCCCACATGACCAGACCTGGGATCGAATCCGGGCTGCCGCGGTGGGAAGCCAGTGACTAACCACTTGAGCAATGGCGTGGCCTCTTTCTCTGGCTTACTACAACACATCATAATTACTTCTTTAAATTATCTATTACCACTCGTATAAAGTGAAATGTTGTAATGCATTTTATAAACAGTGAACCAGTAAATACTTTATTATTTCAAATATGACACATCTAGTTTCTGAATGTGGGTTTTAGAAAAAAATTAGAAAGGTGCACATTCTTCAAATTTAAGATGCACATAATTTTTTCAATGGAAAAACTGTAAAATGCGAGTCTTATATTTGATGTAATATGGTATGTCATATGTTCACTCATCTCATGAAAAAATACCCCTGGATTCTGTCCTAACATATTTTCAGTTCAATTTTAGGTGAGAAGCTGACTCATGCCAAACTACTAAGCTATGTGTAAGGTAATTCTGAGCTACCAAACTGCACTTCTAGATCTTAGGAGTTTCCCAGTTTGAATTTTGACTAGGTTTCCAGTTACTCTACTTGCTTTTGCCTGCCAGTCATCATTCCATCGATATTCCATTTTTGCCTACCATCACCAAAAGGTGTGCAACTGGCTTGACCAGCCTGCAGGATGTCACAATGTCCTCAACTTGGACCGAGAATTTAGGCTGATGCAAAGTAGGTAAGTCTGATTCTAATTTTGAGTACAGTTCTGGCTGCTTTGCTATTTACAACCTACATGACTAAAAAGTTCTTACAGCAAGCTAACACACTTACCCTTGATGGCTTAAGCTTCTTCTTTGCAGGTTCTGATTCTTCATCTTTGAACTGAAAAGAAGGCACACTGAAATTATAGCTCACTAAAGTAGAATTATTATAACATCAACCACATGTAGACATACTCTAAAATTAAAAAAATATACCTTGTCAGGGGGACTTCAAATAATGTGATATGGCAAAATATACAGACATAACTAAAATTACAATGTGCATGTGGTACTGCCAAACATGCAGCTTCTAGTCGAGTTCCATGGAAACAGCATGTTACAAAAGCTTAGCATCAAATTTTGTTTGGAAATGGCAAAAGAGGTGCTGATGCTCATTTTGCAGTCTTTTTGACATGTATCAAGAAAATGACCTCTGAGAACATTGTTATGTAAAGCAGTGTTTCTCAACCAGAGGTCCATGGATTGTGGCTGAAGGTCTATGGCTTAACTTATAGTGGTCCTCAAATTATAGTTATGTATTTTACCACAGTTGGGGAAAAAAATACTATTTTTACACCGTGTGAGATCTGCTTGTGTTTCTTATCCTTGTAATGGCAAATTATTTTGAACATTCTCGTTTCACTTTACTTTCTTACTCTCTCCTTAGGTTAGTTATGTTATTTTACTTAAACCCTGTGAATAATGTTAGCAGTGTTTATATTCCTGGCTTTTTCACTCCAATAAATGAGGTGGGTGTGGTGAATGAGTGAGATCTTGAAATTTTCCCATCTGGTAAATTGTACAGAGCCGATTCTCTACAACCTCATTCTACATGCTACAGTGGTTAATCAAATCAGTCTATATATTTATGCCATGGTGACCGGTCACAAATGCCTCCTTACCCCCAAACCACCTGTTGGGGCTGGGTTACTGATTCTAGATCTGCTTCTCTCAATAAAGCCATTTGGAGTTTCCCTTTGAAGAGTGGTGGCAGCCCTATAATATTCTGCAATAATTGAATTAACATTTACCTCTGATAAGGACGGTATTGTAATCTTCACCGGTTCTTTCCCTTTCGGAAGTTTGTAACGGGTGAAGATTAAACTGTCATCTGTCTCCAATGTGAAACTTGGCTTAGGTGGCGGAAGAGACGAAAATAAACTCAAATTTTGGTCTTCATTTAGACTTGCTTGTCCGTTATCATCTGTGTCCAATGTAAAACTTGGCTTCGGTAGTGGAAGAGACGAAAATAAACCCAAATTTGGGTCTTCATCTTCACTTGCTGGTCGGTTATCTCCAGTGTTCTCACTTTCCTTCAGAACTGGTAGTTCAGATTCAATTACTGATTTACTGTCGTCATTTGCACTTTCATTTTCACTTTCGTCACTGCTTCCATAATCCACCAGAGAAGACATTGTCAGCTGCAAACATATATTCGATTACGCCGTCAGCACACTATGTTTGAAAATGAAATTACGAAGCTTGAAATGGAACCCACTATTCTATTATTGCTATTTAAACAAGACTACAAATTTCTGAAGGTACAACACAAATAGGTTACGATATCGTACAACCAGTACACATACAAAACGCATCACAATCAACGGGAACCGAATAACAAACTGTCAAAACGACAAACCCTGTACACTTCGTTTCAGATTGTCGCCAAATTCCACTCAAATTCAAAATCAACTTAACGCATATTTTCATCACAACTGTGTTCAACAGTTAATTGTAATTATGATGATATAGTTGGGGTTGATTGTGTCATACAGTATAATGATTAGTTTCAATTATTTGAGAACAGTGTAACATTTGAACATTTCCCTTTCAATCAGCTGTTTTCCTAACAACCGAGATTACAGCATTGCTCACTAGGTAGCGTCCTTAGCTGGATGCTAATCCATGGAAGCTAGCGAAGCTAGTATGTCAAAGCAGTTAAAGCTGTGGTCGAATTGGGGAAAGTAACTGGGTGTGAGGTTGGTTTTGGTGGTGTGTGGTGTGATGTAAGTTCGGGAGGGGTTGTTTTTTTTTTCTTCGCCACGAACCCTAGGCGCCCTAGGCCATTGCTGAATGGTCTAGGGGAAAATACAGATTGGTATCTTCGATACTAAGAAGTAAATTCAAATGCAATGTTGAAAGTGTCACGCAGTATTATGTGAGTATAGTGTGAAAGTGCTTAAATCATTATTGGGCTCAGAAGAGAACTTCTGACAGAACTGCAGCACTGGCGACTGAACAGGCGGGCCCATCGGGTTTTGGTGGTGTGCCTGTAATTCCAGGCCAAAGGGCCCCTAAAATGGGGGCGTTGGACAGTGGAGGATCAGATGGAAGAGATAGACGGGGCGGGTCTCAGGGAGTGCATATGCCAGTACCTAGTCAAACCCGCGGAGGTTTACGAGTGTATAAAATCGTTGTACTGGGAGACGGTGGTGTGGGAAAGTCAGGTGAATACATATTAGTTTAATAGATGGCTTTGAATGCATACATTGGTATCAGATACCCATTTCATTTCAGAAGCAACGTTATAGTAATGTGTTTAATTCCTGTTTTGTTTTCAGCTTTGACACTGCAGTTTGTGAAGCATAGATTTTTGGACTACCATGACCCAACAATAGGTGAGTCAGAGAAAAGGAACTGACTGATGACATTTCTCGTTTTATTTTATTTCTGCCCATTATAAGAGCTGTCAGACTTGTTTGTAGAAATGCAGTAATATTGTATTGTATTGTATTGTATTGGTTTTCTTTCCTGTGGATGAGGATGCAAAGTATTGTTGTGCCATTATGACTGTGGAATAACAAGAAATAGACTAATAACGTTTTGTGATGCAGATCTGCAGTCAACAACCCTGCTCCAGCAAATACTTTCTAATTTAGCTAAAGTTCCACCAATTTGGCTAATTTATGGTATATGACATAAACTCTGTCCTAAGTGCAACAATTTATTGTAGTTCTTTCGTCTTGCTTTCTTCTACACTACATGTTTCGGCTGCAAATGGCCATCATCAGGTGTATACTTTCACGTAGCTGCTACACTGCACGTAGTTTAAAATTTAAAAAAAAACACTAGTCTTCCCAATTGTTCATTTCACCGTTGCTGACAGGTTTCAATATATCATAATCTTCCCCGCTGAGATCTGTCTGATATGTACAAAATCTTTGTTAACCTACACACATCAATTTGATTTTCATAAACTGGCACTTTTAAAATCTTCAATTCCAATTTTAAAAATTTCTATAAAATTTTTTCAAATTTTAAAATTTAAAATTCTCAATGTTACCCGCCCTATGTCTATAGTGCTGCAGCGGCTACTTCTTGTTTTCAGCACTGTTCAGGTGTTATTCTCTGTAGGCTCCCTGTGTGCATGCCGCTGCGTATCTTTAATACGTGTAATGTAGAAGAAAGCAAGCTGAAAGAACTACAATAAATTGTTGCACTTAGGATGGAGTTTATGTCATATATCGTGTAGAGTGTAACAGGATGCTTAAATATAATATTGGCTAATTTACATTGCCTGCATGTGCACGTGCGCACACACAAATATCATGCATACAATTATTATAAACAACTTACAGTGTCTTATTTTGTAAAGCTGTTGTGTTTCATCATTAAAGAATGTCATCAAGGTGCAATATATGTATTCAAATGAACTTGCTGTTAATTACATAAGTTCTGTTGGTCAGTTTACTGGTGAATTTCGTTATTTAAATTAGATTTAAGATTTAAATTAAGAGCATTCTACAAGAAGAAGGATTATCTGATTTGCCTGTACAGGAGAAGGCCATGTGGACCTGCTTAGAAAAGAGCCTTTCTTATTTCCCTTTAGTCCATACAGGGCTCCTTCCCCTTTCTCCCGTTCCTTACTTTGTATGACCAGTCTTCTTGATCCCCTTGGCCCAATTCCTTCACCTTTGTTATGTTACCCTATCACAATACCAGCCTGCTAACTTGTACACTGAAAATAGAAGTTACAGGTTCCTCTGAAATATGGGTAAAGATCCACATGACTGTACCTCAGCACCTAGAAAACAAGAATATAAGTTAACTTGGTTTCTAGGTTGTTTTATTTTTATTGTTTTATATGTTATCAGTTGTGATTAACCAGAGCATTTCCCCTTACCCCAGTAACTGGACTATCTTGGTTCCTCCAGGGAATTCGGCCAATACTTCTTTCACTTTGCTCCAAGGGAGAACGTTCTGCACTATTTTAGATTGTCTGTCGGTGGACTACGATTGGCGCTCCAGTATGCCATCCCTTACTGCTAGCAATTCCAGTTGGGTCCTGGAGTTCTTGTACGTGATGCTGCTGTTGGCAGTGTCTCCATTCTGGACATTGTCCAGCTACTGCTTCTTCTGAAATTGGTTCTGCGTCATGATCGTTCATCTGCTTCATCCTTAGGGTGGCTGGGTCCCGCCATCTGCAGCTATGGCCACAGTGGGTCGCACCTGTTTGACTTCTGCACGCACCTAGACTTTTGACAGTGAGTACACTTTTCTCGGCATGGTCTTCAGGAAAGGGCATTGGCTGTGTTGTATTTTCAATCTTATCGGTGCCCAGAAATAAAGCCGTGTTGCTGAAGGCGCTGGACCCAGCTGTCGCTGCAAATTCTTGAAAATTGTCAGCCAAGTCAGGGTGGAGTTTGCGATGTGCATGTGGAACTCTTGCCCATAGAGGTTCCAGTACCCTCACGATGACCAGTAGTTCCCACCTGGTGATGCAGTAGTTTCTCTCCGTCTTGTTCACTGTTGTACTATAGTAGACCATTACCCACTTTTGGCCTCTGTGTACCTGTGACAGTACTCCAATTCCGATGTTACTTGCATCTGTGTCAACATTGAACTACTGTCCTGGCTGAGGGTAGGCAAGGATGGGAGATTGGAAGGTGGCCTCTACCACTGGGGACAACTGAAAAGTTTGTTTCTCCCCTGTGAGACTAGCAAGTGGCTTCGCAATGTTGACAGAATCAGAGATAAATCATCTGTAGTAGGTATATGGGCCCAGGAACTTCTTAATTTTGTCCTTGTTCCTTGGGGTTGGCCATTTCCTTATGGCCTTCAGTTACTCAGTGTCTGTGGTTATCCCCTCTGGCGACATGAAATGATCCATGTACTGTACATCCTTCTTTAATAATTGGCCCATTACTGGGTCCTTTAGAGGCCTTCAAGAGTGTGGGTCTCCGGGCTCGGTCCTTCTAGACCAACCCCCTTACTAGCATCAATTAAAGTGTGTGTGTTTTCTGTGTGAGCTTTGCTTCTCTGGAATTAGATATAAAAAATATGATGCCCGTATTAATATTTACAGGTTTATATTGATATAAACTGACCATCTCTTGTTTATGTTTTGTTTATTTTTTTATGCATCCAGAACATCTACAAAGTTCGTTCATCAGTAATCTGTCAGACGACAGGTCCACAGTCTCTTCCAAAACACTTCCTCAACTTAATGTGATCCAGAGCTTTCTCCTTCAAATGAGAATATCCTCTTCTGTCCCCAAGGTCATACAGCATCTTCTTACGTTTTCTTCCTCGTCTTCTGGTCACTTCTATCCACCCCTCTAGCCTTCCTTCAATAACTTCTTTTAGAAGGCAGTTACTGCTAAGATTTTGTTATATCCCGCACCTGGAATCGATGTCATATCCCAGTAGCAAGACAGGTTGGCTAGGGTGAGCGGTTCCCTCGGGAGTCAATATGGGGTATCCTCAAGTAACAGCAGAGGAAGAGCTAGGTGGTTTAATGTACAACTATTAAAATGCAATGCTTACAGGAAAATGTACAGATAAGACAACAGTTTTGCAAACTGCCTATGCCTGGGCAACCACCGACTTTCTCTATCAGACAATCCGTCCTCACAGATCGTAGACTGTCGTGATCAAAGAAGCATCTTGTAACGCCCAAGCGGGGGTATATATTCCTTCCTCCTTAAGTCTCTAATAACGTCATACATTGCATCAGCCTAAAACTTCCAGAACATTCTCTTGTTTATAGTATGTGCATCCCTCCTGGACTTTGATTGAACTTGACAAAATTTATGAGGCAGGAGAGTGTACGATTGTCACTGTCTTCTAGTTGAAAACAAGTACGTTTTGGTATGATAATACGGGTGAGAAGTTGATTTACAATCTTTTAATATTTCGTCATATTATAGTCTCTTCCTCATTTGATGTACTTAAAGTAGTTATTTTAATTGTGCACCTTCCTTCATTTTTAAGCATCTCACCTACCAATAATCCCTATTATGTCAGTTACCTTATCCAACAGCTCGCTACGTACTAGGTGTTCCCTATATAGATATTAATATAACCAAGTTTATGCTGGTCACGGTAGCCGAGCAGTCTAAGGCATGCACTGTCTTCGCTCGCTCGGAAGCCAAGGTCGTGGGTTCGAATCCCACTCAGGGCGTGGATGTTTGTGTGCGTTTTTCTGTGTTTGTCTACAGGTACAGGCCTTGCGACGAGCTAATCACTCGCCCGAGGAGTCCTACCGTATGTGTAAGATCTAGAAAAACCGAAGTGAACGGAGAAGTTCATGAAGGTAGGCCTAGGCCCACTGGGGCTGTAGTGCTAAGGGGAAAAATAACCCAGTTTGTACCAGGTATTCCCATATACAACTCTGGCATNCGTGTTGCTGAAGGCGCTGGACCCAGCTGTCGCTGCAAATTCTTGAAAATTGTCAGCCAAGTCAGGGTGGAGTTTGCGATGTGCATGTGGAACTCTTGCCCATAGAGGTTCCAGTACCCTCACGATGACCAGTAGTTCCCACCTGGTGATGCAGTAGTTTCTCTCCGTCTTGTTCACTGTTGTACTATAGTAGACCATTACCCACTTTTGGCCTCTGTGTACCTGTGACAGTACTCCAATTCCGATGTTACTTGCATCTGTGTCAACATTGAACTACTGTCCTGGCTGAGGGTAGGCAAGGATGGGAGATTGGAAGGTGGCCTCTACCACTGGGGACAACTGAAAAGTTTGTTTCTCCCCTGTGAGACTAGCAAGTGGCTTCGCAATGTTGACAGAATCAGAGATAAATCATCTGTAGTAGGTATATGGGCCCAGGAACTTCTTAATTTTGTCCTTGTTCCTTGGGGTTGGCCATTTCCTTATGGCCTTCAGTTACTCAGTGTCTGTGGTTATCCCCTGTGGCGACACGAAATGATCCATGTACTGTACATCCTTCTTTAATAATTGGCCCATTACTGGGTCCTTTAGAGGCCTTCAAGAGTGTGGGTCTCCGGGCTCGGTCCTTCTAGACCAACCCCCTTACTAGCATCAATTAAAGTGTGTGTGTTTTCTGTGTGAGCTTTGCTTCTCTGGAATTAGATATAAAAAATATGATGCCCGTATTAATATTTACAGGTTTATATTGATATAAACTGACCATCTCTTGTTTATGTTTTGTTTATTTTTTTATGCATCCAGAACATCTACAAAGTTCGTTCATCAGTAATCTGTCAGACGACAGGTCCACAGTCTCTTCCAAAACACTTCCTCAACTTAATGTGATCCAGAGCTTTCTCCTTCAAATGAGAATATCCTCTTCTGTCCCCAAGGTCATACAGCATCTTCTTACGTTTTCTTCCTCGTCTTCTGGTCACTTCTATCCACCCCTCTATCGTTC